TTTACTTAGTATTTTTTAATCATACAAAATAATGACTTTTCTTGTGATATATTCATACATATATATCACTGTATTTTTCTCATATGCATCTCTGACTCTATCTTCCTTCATTCTTTCTAAATACCGGTCTTCCCCTAAACACAGTTACTTGACTGCTCACCCTGGTAAACATCACTTCAACTTTCCAGCCACATGGAGGAGTGATAACTTGAACTATGGAGCAGAGTCTACATGCTAATGCATTTGAGGGGCTTTACTACTCTCCAGAAACAGAGGGACAGGTGTTGTCTCCACAGCTGACGTTTGAAATTTGCAACTTATTCCAGGCACAACTGGAAAATGGTGGGGGAATTTAAACATGAATCAGACCTGCTCTAATCTCTACTTTGACAGGGCCACTCTGGCTCCGGTGAGGGGAACCGACAAGAGATACAGCTGAGGGGTTATCAGGCCTCCTGGGTCTGAGGGAATTTATTCTGTAAAAGGACATAAAATGGAGATGATGTTATTGCACCTAGGATTTATTTTGAAGGTGGTATCAAATGGAATTGCAAAGGGAACACTCCTGTGGTGATAGGAATTAAAAGTTACTTATATAACTACCTTTACAAACTGCGATTAACAGAGAAAAGATTTTTTTCTTTTTAATGATATAGTCTGAACTGTGCCCAGAATGTGACTATATTTGGTCACAGTACTTGGGGAAAAGGTGATAAATTCAAGACTTTCAGGGTAGGCATAACCTAGTCTGACTAGTAAGACTCAGGCGTTCTAACCAGACAGAATATTGATGCACAGGCATAGAGAGAACACAGAAACACCACTCTGGACTGTAGGCATGGAAGTTCCTGAGGAAACAGAGCTTCCTTCCAAAGTAACACTGACACTTGAGCCTCTAGCCCATGTAAGACGACACTCTGCTTTTCCTCCGCTCAGTCTGTGGGATCCCAATGTTTCCTTTGTGTCGTTTTGCTTATTGTTTTGTTTATGACAGTATAGGAAACTAATACAGAAAAGGGTAGGGGTGCGAAGGGAGGAAATTGATAATTAATGGAACAGGTTTAAAAGACTAATGACAGTTAGATGACTTAATAGTCCTCAGTGCTAAAGCGCCAGCTACGTGATGCTCATTGCTCCAACCCCACTCTTCCTAAATCAGCTTTTCTCTAGACTCTAGTTTTATTACCTCCAATGAGTTCATAACTCATGCTCTATTTCATGATACATTAATTCAGTCTCGACAGTGGGAAAAAGCTGGGAAGTACTTGGGCTGAGTGACATACGGCAGACTCATGCAGTGTCACTTGGGAACCAGGAAAAGATGCACTGTGATGATTTCCCACAGTGCTACCATGTCTAAGACCACCCACATAACATTAGCAAGTCTTTCTGGCTGTCTCCTCTGCCCTTCTCTCTAGCTCATTTCTCACCTGAAGGTCTAACATGTGCCCCTGGTCAGGACCGCTCATCTTGGACCAAGTCCTTTTAATCCATCTCCTGAAAAACTCAAAAACATGGGTGGGGGGGCCAAAGAGAAAGTAGTTTCCCCCATAATCAGGACAGAGTTATCATCTTCTGACCATCCCTCCTTAAAATGAACTACGCTCATTCTGTGGAAATCGCCATCATCTCTCTCACTGGTAATCACAATTGTTAAAGAGGCCTTTCTATAAGTCTCTACACCCCTTAAGGAAGATCCACAGCTGGATTCTCACAGGTAGGGCCCAGGACCCACCACCCACACAGACAGCATAGTGGTTTTATGAGAATCACCGATGTGGCCTCACCCACCTGTGACCAAACTATACACGTGACCCACAGCCCCACACAAATCTGAGTCTCTGTAACATTCCCAGGATATGAAACAGGAGGCATCTTCCAGGGTAAACAGAAGCACTGTAACAGACTCCACAGCCATTAAAAGAAAAATGATCAGCCCAGTGTAACGTGTACTGTTTTTCCGCCTGCCGCCGCTGGTCTTGTCCCGCCGCCACGCCGCCAGCCCCAAATAACACACAGAGACTCTGTATTTGATACAATGCTGTTGGCCCTGTTACTTGTTTCTTATCAGCTAGCTCTGCCTTAATTATTAACCCATTTCTGCTGATCTATGAATTTCTCTTACCGGGGAGCCTGCGGCATACTGCTTTCTTCAGACCCTCCATCTTGACTCCTCCTTCCTACTTCCTATTTCCTCCTTGTCTCCTAGTCCCTCCTATCTTCCTTTCCTATTGGCCAACAGTGCTTTATTATTAACCAGTATGAGAAACATATATACATAATGGCATCTCCCATCAGCCCAGGTACCCCAGGTGTGCGAAGAAATATTAGAAAATCTAAATATCTACTGTACTCAGGTGTAGCATGACAGCTGCAGTCCTGAATTCAGATCAGCTGTGGCTCGGCATAAGACCTGCACACCTGCACCCGCAAAGACAGTCAAAATGCCAGCACTGATGGGAGAGAAGCTCGTAAGGTGTCCCTCTAGCTGAGAAGCTATTGCCAGCTGGTGGTTGCTAGCGGAGAGTGGTCATTTTTCTTTGGGACTTTGGCCATTGATAGGTTGGTTGCCCATGCTCAGTAAATGGCCCATTACCCATGTGCACACAATCAGCTCCCATTAGAGTCTGTGGGTCATTAATTTTTTAAAAAAGAAATGGAAGGAATGGATGAATAAAGAAAGAGAGAGAAAAAGGAAGAAAGAAAGAAAGAGACAGAGAGGGAGGAAGGAAGGAAGGAAGGAAGGAAGGAAGGAAGGAAGGAAGGAAGGGAGGAAGGAAACATAAGGCTAAGAGGGAAATGATGTTTTGGGTGAGGATTCTAGAGGGAGAGAGTAGAGATACAATCAAAATACAATGCACAAATGTATTAAATTCTCAAAAAATGAAAATATTAAAAAGTAGACTTTAAAAAGTTCTAGACATTTAAACAAATAACTAGCTATAAAGCTATACTTCAAGACGAAGCATAAAATACAAGAAAACTCTACTATATAATTATTATAAAATCTACTACATAATTGTGCATCTATTGTTTTTATCTTTGATTTTGTGAGACAGATTCTCACTCCAGAGCACAGACTGGGCAACAACTCATCATGGAATTCAGGCTTGCCTTGAACTCACAGCTATCCTGATGCCTCACGCTCCCAGAATAGCACTGTCCTTCAAAATAATATTGTACAAGCCAAAAGTCAGAATTTTCAATCACATGCTTAGCATTTAATATTCCTAATTACTTATAAGTCACTTTTATACAAACTTCTGTGTATCTTTATGCAAAACTCTATTGAAATTATGTATTTTTTAAAAAGCCAGCCTAGGATGTGTTTCTGCCCTTCAGTGAATCAACATGGGTGGAAAATAAGATGTCTGTCTTGTCTGGTACAAAATTTCTCACAAAAAATAAAAGAAGAAAAAAAAAAAAAAAAAAAAAACCTCAGAAACAGTTGACCTGAGCTCGTGGGAGCTCATACTCTGGACCAACAGCTGGGGAGGCTACATGGGACTGACCCAGGCCTTCTGCATGTGTGTGCAGCTTGATCTTTTTGTAAGGCTCCTAGCAGTGAGATAAGGACCTGTCCCTGGCACTTAGCTGGCTTTGGGGAACCTGTTCCCCATGCAGGATTAACTTGCCCAGCCTTGACACAAGGTGAGGAATTGGGTCCTACCTCAACTTGCCATGCTTTGTTTCAGCCTCTGGGAGGCCTGTCCCTTTCAGAGGATGAATAGAAAGGGAGGTGGTGGGAGGGGGGAACCAGGAAGAGAGGAAGGAGAGGAGACTACAGTCAGGATGTAAAATAAATGAAAAAAAAATGTTATTTAAATAAAATTAAATTTAAAAAAAATAGTAAGGAACAAAAAAAAAAAAAAAAAAAAAAGCCTCCCCAAAAATAAGTACTTCAGCCCAGAACCCAAAACTGCTATGTTAAATAACTTGACAATGGTGAGTTGGAGTTGCAAATCAGTAATCAGTTGACATTAATTATATTTTAATTTGTGGGGCGATCAGAGGAGAACTTGTAGGAGTCAGTTCTCTCCTCCACCATGTGGGCTTCAGGGTTTGAACTTGGGATGTCAGGCTCAAGGTATGTGCCTTTAACCACTAAATCTGTCTCAACAGTCCACTAGCCATTTTCCATATCCCAGATTGTCCAAGTAGGAATACAATTCCTAGATCCTGAGATGTGTCAGGACAATGTATGCCAGAGAGAAAAAAATATTGTGTTAAATAATACAGCCAAGCAATCTTTTCCCTCTAAAATAAAACCTCTCCCAAAACACGATTCCAATGAACATTTATTTATTAAGTCTACACAAGGTAAAGGCAGAGTTCACAAATGCCTGGTGTATCAATCCTCGCTCAGGACTGCTTCTTGCTCACTCTTCCTTCTTTGTTGGGAGCATCTCAGACTTCCGTTGTTTTACACAATATCCAGAAGGCTACTGGTAGGCTGGTTTCAAAGTTGGAGTCTTCTCAGAAAGTGGAGGAGACTGCAATGATTGTCACAGCAAATGGAGCCTTTACTGTGATGTCTAAATTAAAATTAAAATAAATAAAACAGGAGTTACCAAGAGAACCTCAAAGATCAGGGCCATCTTTAGTCATTTAACATTTTGAACTTGGGTGTGGAATTCTATTTCTCGCAGTATAATCCCTTATCCTCTCTTGTCTTCCTGTGCCCTACATAAAGAGTTCAAGCACTCTGCTGATAGCCATTCTATTGTTACAAGCAATCATAATAGAGAATTAAAATACAAAAAGAACCAAGAGGGTCTGGAGAGATGGCTCAGCAGTTAGCAACAGAGGCTGCTCTTCCAAAGGACCCAGGTTCAATTGCAAGCACCCACGTGGCAGCTCATTTTAGTCTGTAACTCCAGTTCCAGGGGCTCTGACACCTTCTTCAGGCCTTTGTGGGTACCAGGCAAACACATGGTGAGCAGACATACATGCATCATAACACCCATACACATAAAATAATAATGTTTAAAAGCATTTTAAAATTGCTGACTCAGAGCCCTTGATTTTTTCCAGGAAGCAGACATGTGTTAGATGGTGGCTTGACTAAGAGTCCATAAGTTGGACTGAGTTCCACACCCTAGAAAGATAAAAAGAAATTTATGAATACTCAAAGAAGGGAGAATTTGTGTCCTGTTGTGAGTGTACAAGAAGCTCCAGATCCTTGAATAGAAAAGGCCTGCATGAAGGAATAATTTCCTGTTATATTTTATTTTATTTTTATTTACTTTGAGATGGGGTTTTCCTCTGTAGATCAGGCTGGCCTGAAACTAAGAGATTCAGCTGCCTCAGACTCCCAAAGATTTGTACCACCATTTCTGTACATGACTAAAATTTATCTCAGCTTGGGGAGGTGGTAAATGTGGAGCCCATTCTGAAGGTACTAAAATTAGGATCAAATAGAACAAATCTCTAGAGAGGTATCAGGGATAAAAGAGAAGAGACTTACAAAATCAAGATTTCCAGTGGAGGTGGGGATCAGGCCTGCAATGAGATAAAGAAATGGTTTTCATTCACTTCAAGCATCATTCACTCAAGCTACCAAAATTTGTCTTAGAGGAAGAAAACATGAAGTTTTATGAATTCTTCACTAAGTGCTAGACAGAAAATGCTAAACATGCAGAGGGCATGATGGCTCACACCTTTAGTTCTAGCACCCAGGAGGCAGAGGCTGGCAGATCTCTGTGAATTCAGGAACAGCCTGGTGTTCTTATCAGGGCTAGAGTTACATAGAGAGACCCTGTCAATAGATGGATGGATAGGTAAATAGATAGACAGACAGACATGAAAATGCCTAAGAAATCCATTGATTAACTTGTGAAGCCGTAAATTCTCTTTGCTTCAGTCCAAATACAAAGGACATTTACACTTATCAAAATTTTGAGCCAGGATACTGTCTTTCTGTAAATAGGTATTGTATCCACTGGAAGAAAAAGGATGTGATTAATCCCATCTTCCTAACCATATTTCCAAGCATGTGGATACGGAAAGAGCTAGCCCTGAGGAGCAGCCCAGAACTTGTTCCTGAGATCAGGTGGCTGCCAACAAACTTTGTTGTCACCAACAGGTGTCTTCTGTTGAAAATATTCCAGGAAAGTGGGATACGCATTCCTTGAGTTTCAAAGAACTTTTGGTGAAATTTACTCCACCTTAGAGGTCAATTTGAGTAACTGGGGACCTCTCTCAGCAGTGAGGAGAAGAAAAGGACATGGAGAGGAATGGCAACAATTTTAAAGACAAACTGCTCCTACCTGGGGTCTCAATGGCATCTTCCAGGAAGCTGATGGAGACTATATCATCCTCAGGAGAGGACACTAGAAAGACAGAACAGAAGACAGGTCTGGTCACCTGCTCTGGAAGAAAGCAGGCTGTCCTGGAGGAAGACACAAGATGGGACCAGAAACATCTGTTCAGCCCTCCAGAAACCACACCCTCACTGGTATTACCAGAGATCTGTGTGCTCTCCTCATCCACTTCTGTGATTGGCATGAAGTCGGGGGTGGGGCTAAAGTCGGTGTTTGAATCTCTGTCTGTGTCGTCTGGTAGAATAGTTTCTGCCACTCTCTCAATTGGTGGGAGTAGATTATTGGTTGACTTTAGTATGTCAATGATTGAACTCAGTAGTTCTTCCCTTTCAACAGTTGAACTTAGTAATTCTTCACTGGATGGGCCTAGTGGGTCATAGGTGATTGGTTCTGAAAGGTAATTGGTTGAGTCTCCTTGGTTAGAACTGGTTAGATCTAGTTGATTCTGGTAAGTAGTGGATTCTAAAGAAGGCCAACAGGAAAGAACAGCTCAAGCCTTTTCCAGTAAGCATCTCCACCCCTTCCTGTTCTCAGCCCTCTGTTCAAGGGGAAGTGTAACGTGGCTGCTGTTGTGTGTCTCACCACAGCCCTGTTCAGTGGCTCAAGTTCCTGGGCTGACTGCTTCTCAGAGCAATGTGATCAGAGCCCACCCTTGCCTTCCTTAAGGGCTCAGTTGAAGAAAGAGCGTCTGTATTGTATCACTATCCATGTGCTGGTGCAAAAGAAGAACTTAAGATTCACTTCTATAATCCCTCCAGATTTCTGAAATCTACTAATGGTTCAAATTTAAAGAAACAACTGGCCCTGTGTGTAAGCAAGAATGGAAAGAATGCTAACATGTTCCATTATAACTACTTGTCATTTAATGCCCTGTGTCCAGGACCCATTTTCAGCATGTCCCAAAACACCTAGCCCTGATGTCATAGGGCTTGTGCCTTATAGAACCCACACAACCTGTGTGCAGGGGACTCATCTCACTGTGGCAGGAACAGTAAGCAGCATCACTGTCTCTCTCTGCCTCTCACTTGGCTTCATCTCACATGTGTGTACAGTGAGGAAGCCCGAAGCCCACCCAGCAGCCCAGACAGTGAGAGTCACCTGGCAAGGACAGGTGAAGGGACACTTCCACTCAGCTGGGTGAGCAGCTCTCCTAAGAAACTGCCTGAGTTCAGAAAAAAACTGAAACACAAAGCTTTGAAATTGGGAGTTCCATTTTCTCTGAGGCTCATGAGGACATTATTTATTTCCTTGCTCAACATGGTACATGTTTCCATCCTAGCACCACAAAGATTAAGTGACAGAGCTGGCTGCTGTCAAACATGACTGAAGCTCACTGTGGTGAGGTCCCCACAACTCTTCACCCTAATTCAACAGAATCATATCTCCTCCTTGACATCCAGTGAGGATCGGACTATCAAAAATGTCTCAGCCATTCTGCCCCGGCCCCATCTGACCAAGCTTGTTAACTCTGTGTGGTTAATTCAAACTCACAACCAAAATCATGGCTCGGTCAATCGCTCAGCTGCCATTCTAACCTAAAATGACCTTGACAGAATTATCCAATTTCTATTTAAAACGTTCACCACAGATCAATCCCTCCCACACCATCTCCACACAACCTCACACTCACACACCAACTCCCTTCTCCAAAGGATCCCAAGGTACACATACCTATGTCCACAATGGGGAAAGCCACACCCAGAGCACACAAGATAGAGATCACCAGAACCTTGGAGAGCATCATGTTTTTGTAGGGTTAAGGCAACCAGCGAACAGAGAGGAAGGAATTAGTGCAGGAAGAACTCTGCTGGGCTTTTATACATTCCTCTGCCCTACCCCTGAGGGTGGCTTCCCTCAGTTGACTGGAGGGGGGGGGAAGAGGGGCAGGGAGGGGGGTAGGGAGGACCTTCATTAGCCATTGAAGAATGCACCAGGAAGGAATTAAGGAAAACTAACAAGGGCAGACAGACAATAGAAGCCAGGCTATGCTCAGAGAAAAAGTCTGATGAGGACCTTTGTGAAGTCAGACACACCACCCATTGACATTAGCTCCGTTATCCTCTGAGGTCAGCGGAGAGATTCCTATTCCATCAGATGTGCCCTCCACCCCCCACATCATGACTTCTCTTTGTCTTCTAGGCTGGGGTCATCTGTCTTTTCTGATCCCCCAAAGATGGCATTATGTCAAAAAAAAAAAATTGGCTTGTTTGACCCTAAGGAAAAAAAATCTCATGTACACATTAGAGTCCTCCACCCCCACAGATCCCTGGAGAAGAGAACGATGGAGAACTGTTCACTGCAATAGCAGAACCATCCAACACTAGGCTGTGTGATTTCTCTGGATTGTCAGACCTTGTGATTCTCAACAGGAGCCTCTCAGTATACACTTCACCCACCAATCCCTAGGAGGAGCCCAAAGGCTGACTGTTACAGTAACTCCACATTATACAAGGAACTGGCTCTCTATGGGGGCAACAAGAACAATGGATTATCTTTTGGCTGCTAAACCTGGCTCCTGCTAGACCACCCTCCTGACCCAGGACCAGTGTCAGCTTAAGACAAGTCATTGTTTGCAGAAGTGATCTAACCCTCAGAAGAGATGGGACATAGACAGGAGAAAATCATGCTGGGGACACCTTGTGTCAGGCAGCTGCACAACTCAGTTCAAACTTCCTCTGTGCTTCGAAGGTAGGCAGGTCTCCACCTGGCTTGTAGGAGACCTGACGCCATGGATACCATCTACTTGTCTCTTTTATTGCTCTTCGGTTTCCCATGCTAACAGGTTCACAGGTGGTTTCTGAAGACACCACAAGCTCACTGATATCATATAAGAAGGAACCTTGGAGCAATGCCAGTTCAAACAGCTAGCAACTACTGGGAGCATAGACACACACACCATGGGTGTATAGACTTTACTCTAACATTAGCCCCAAGGAAACTTGATCTCCTCTCCTATTAAGGAAACCCTGAAACAGAGATATTAGCGAAGTGAGGAAGAGCTGCACAGTAAATGTTTTGCTCTGAGTAATCATAGCCTGAATCCGACTGAAGACACAGAGTGAATTCTCAACCATTCAACCTTCGTGTCCCTTACCCCACCCCCCTCCCTCGCTTCCCAGTTATCCCTCTGATTCCTCAGTGCTGGTTTGTACTGTGAAGTGTGGCACTGCATGAAGGGAACACTCACATGCATGCACACGCACGCACATGCACATGGGGGGGGGGGAGGAGCAAATGTCTTCCTGGAAACATTTGACTTGGTAAGCTCTGAACAACACAGTCTAACCCAGACACAATGGTCAGAAGCTTGGGAGGTAAGAATCATCTCGCAGGTGACTCACACTAGCAACAAAAAGACTCAAATGAGACAGTAGGGCAGTCCTTCACAGTCCAGAAGAGAAGGAAGCAGGCCACCTGTACTGGCCACAGTGCTTTGACTATCACATGCAAACCCTGAAGCCCGTGACAAGAGCAGAAGTAACCATCAAGGTACTAAAGAGACTAGCTCTGCCTTGTACTTTACCATCAAAAGTTAGGGACATCAAGATGTCCCTTCAGAGGTCTCAGCACTGTGTTCTGGCCTCAGTTTCCACAAGCCTTAGAGCTGGAGGGGCTGCCCACTGGATTGGGTCAGAGGAGCAAGTTGCCCAAGCCTTGGAGGTAGAGGTGCATTGGAGGAAGAAGAGGGAAAACGGGGGGGAGGGGGGAGTCTATGCACAGGAATGGCACTAGGGTTAAAACAAATTATCGTAGGTTTGATTGATTCAAGCAGAAAAGAAAAACCTTCAAGTGCCCTTCTGGAAATCAGCATTAATTTGCCTGCATTCAATTGGTTTTGACACTCCCATTGAAGGGAACCTTGGAGATTATTGTAGAAGGTGTTCTGTCAGTAAGAAAGCACAAGTCTTGCCATCCCCCTGCTCCACTGAGATCTGTTCCTAGAGATGGGTGGAGCCAGAGCATGAACCCCCAGACCTGTGCATTCTCTGTCTGCCCCTCCCTGATACCCTTACCTCTTGAACAGAGCCAAACTGTGAATGAAGCACAGCACACAGATGCATCCAGCCCAGCAGCTGGCCTAGGATACCTTTCATTCCAGGTAACCATTCCCCATCCAGGAAAAACTCTGTAGAAGCCAGAATCAAATTTCTAACCCTGGGAGGGGGGGGCAAGGAGAGAAAGGATGGCTCAGTGTATAGGAGCACTGGTTGCTCTTCGAGAAGACTTAGGTTCAGTTCCCAGCACCCACATGTCACGTGGTAGCTCACAACCATCTGTGACTCCAGTTCTAGGGAATCAAAACACCTCTTCTGATCTTTGTGGGCACCACACACACATGGCACACTTACATATGTACAAGCAAAATACTCATAGACCCAATAAATAAATGGATAAATAAATAAAAAAAAAAACTAAACACCATAATGAAAACTAATTCTTTCGAGGGTAATTTTTAAAATATGAGAATTTAAAGTATCATATTGTATGAACTACAATAAAATATATCGAGAAAAACATATTGATTGCTAAATTATAAACTATTGCAGGACAGAACCTTCTTTTGTTTCTTAGCATGCAAGGACAGGATGTAGCCTTGAACATACTAAGCAAGCTGAGGCGATCCCCACTCTTATTGCTAAAGCCTTACTAGTCAGTTTTGTGTTTCTCCATTCCTACAGGCTTTATACAGAGCCCCAAATCAACAGCTATTCGTTTGTGTTGAGTTCTAACACCGAGCAGGTAGAAAGGGCCCACAAAACACAGCATCTGGACAAAGGTCTTAGGTTCTAGACTTAGGTTACCCAAACATGGCTCCATGTAAAATTTCAAGTCCCCCCTCCACAATTTACTCATCCCTTCAGACTGTTGTTGTTGCTGCTTGGTTGGTTGTTGTTGTTTGGGGGGCTTTGTTTGCTGTTGTTTGTTTGTGCCTTTGAGGCAGGGTCTTTCTATGTAGTCCTAGCTGTTCTGGGGCTCACTTT